TACAACAACTTCATGTGTTTTCATTTCTTCGAACCTCATTCAAGTCATATTGTCCAGCCACTCGATTTGTGTCTTTTTGGCGCGGTCAAAAAAATAAGCACATTTGCAACACCGTTGTTCAGAAGTTCAACTAGTACCATTCAAACAATTTCACAACCAACTCGAAGTGATTTCACTTCTTCTACAACAACAGACGTATTGATTAATAATGGAGTTTCTCTAGACAACTTAGTTGCGTCATGGATAAAACAACTTGATGATCCCTTAAGTAACCGAGCAACTTCTGATGAGAGAGCAGCAAGAGGAAGTGTAATTTCGGAGCATTTGACTAAAGTAATGAAAGCCATCGAGGAAAAGGCAACAAGAAAAAATAAAGAGTCTTCATTCCATTGCGCAGGCTTTGTGGTTGTTAACCACAATAAAAACAACAAAGTATTTGTAGACATCAAATCCGCAAGTGTGTTTATGCGTTTAACAACTGCCAACCCCTCTCCAGAAGAAATGGTTAAACTTTCTGTGCCACAATCAATCACAACGTTGACTAGCGTCAAACAAGTAACACCAGAGAGTGTAAAACAGCTTGAGGAGTACTGTCTCGGCATTTTCAAATAATCCATTCTTTTGGTTTTTTAGTTTGTAGATCAAACTCTTCTCGTTTTTGTTTTATAGAATATGGGATTATTTCCCCTTTTTTCACATTCGGCAAAAAAGGGGACTAAGAATCAGTATCAAAAAATCACTGTGTGTGTAAAAACCCGAAATTACACATTAAAAAATTGTAAATATGTTCCAAAACTAAAAATAAAAGGACTAATGTCGAGTAACCGGACTAAAGTCCAGTTGCCCATCTGTAAGTTGTTTGGGGTTCTGGTGTATTAACCCTTTAAAATAATAATAATGTATAATAAAATTATCCATAATTAATCGACTAGTTTAATTATATGAAAATAATTATTAAAAATAGTTTCACATTTAAAAAAATAAATTATAATTTATTGTTGTTTTATTATAAATTTTTGCTATTGATATGTTGATGTTAATTAAAAATACACGTTAATTAACCATTTCACTTGTTTGTTGTTTATTATATTTTAATTAAATTTATACTATATTAATAGTTCATTGTTTGATTTATTTAATGTGAATTGTGAATGTATTTCCACATTATTCCACAATCAAAATAGCCAGTGATCATACAACCAATATGTCAGGTATTTACTAAACGATTTCGATATTACAGATGTTGCTATTAAATACATAATTATATTGTTTATTAGTTTTGTTTTAAACCATTTTTTTGTGTCACGGTGTGACGGGTTAGATTCTTTCTCTAAATTTTTTACTTAAAAAAATCAACTACTTTCATAAAACATAAACAAGACATTGAGTAATGATTTTTCGAATAACAAATCATTGTGAAAGCAACTAAGGAATACACTTTATATATCAGAATGAAATTATATTGTTAAGTGATTATTTGGTTATTAAAATTATGATAACGATTTTTTATTTATAATTTTATAATCTTCATCAACAATACGATATTAAGCAAAACTTTATTGTTAAAATGTGTTTATATTTTGGCAGAGATATGGACTGTCCAATAAAATTATATTTATTAAATTGATACAACGAATAAATCAATATCAAATATTGACAATTTATTCAGATTTTAAAAATATCAAAACAAATTTTTACTTGATAAAATAATTTTTGGATATTCGAAACTATAATTTAGAATTTGTCTTTTTGTAATAACAAAAAATTAAAAAATGTTTTGTTTTTCAATTAGAAAAGGAAAAAACAAAACCCTCATAAAAAGTATATAAAAACACCATTTTTTCCTCTTAACACAATCTGTTGACTTAGCCTCAAAAGATTTTGTATAACAAAATTGTCGTTTTTCATTTTAACAGCCTCGAATAACAAAAAAAATTAACCCAAAATGTTTTAAAACCCTTAATAACATTATTTTTGGACAATAACAATTCGCAGTAATATTTCACGCCGCAGTGATTTTTCACGGTACTTTATTCAGTTTTGTTTTAATTATATAAAAAATATTCAAATATTTATCGTATTTATAAATTATTTATTAAAAGACAATTAGATAATAAACTCTTTTCATTAATTCGTCACTGCCCTCAATTTAAAATAAAAATGCAAAATTTACCTTAAATATTTTATATTATATATTTTTATTAGGTGTGGTTATATGAAAAATATAATTTCTTGATGTTAAATTGAAACAAAAAAGTGTATGACCTCTTTATCATTTTTAAATTTATTTTATTTGCCTGATATTTTTTATTCATAAAATCGTCATTATTTTTATTATTTTCAGAAACAAGGAAAATTATTTTTAACACTAAAAGATAAAATGATACATTTTACTCTATATCATTAAAATATTGAGTAAAATGTATTTCATTATTTATATTAAAATACATTTTGATATAATTAATTATAATTGACGTAATTCAGTCTAATTTAATAAAGTAATTCGATCAATTGTTGATATTAAGTAAAATTGTTGATCATTATTAAATTTTGTTGAAATTAAACGTAGCGTTTCAATTAATCACAAATGATAAAATGATTTGTAATTAATTGAACATTGAAAAATTTACAAATTTGATGTAAAAATAAATAGTTAACATTTTAAGTTTTAATTAATTATTATGACATACCACTTTGTATATAATTATTGTTGGAGTGACTTACTTGAAAATTACATCGATTATCAAACAATTTTTGACTTAAAAAGTTGTATAGTTTCATTCATTTCGAAGATAAATATATTGATACAAATTAGATAACTGGAGGAACTTCGACAAAAACAATTATTAGATTCTTAATTTAAAAACAAATTGTTTATATTATACAAAAGGTATTTTTTTAAAAAAATCATATGAAATTTTTTTTAAAAAAAAATATTACATGTAACAACTAATTTTAATAAAAGTCTCGATTCAACATAGTCTAAAAAACAAAATATAAAAACTTGTATCAATAAAAGAATTACAAAACAATACAATATACCAACATTTTAATCAATTTAGTAATAAACTGCTAAGATATTCAAAAATTAAATAGCATAATTAGTAATTAACAAAAAAGTTAAAATAATATCAAAATAAAATTATTATGCGGGTAAAAGTTAATTTGCACGAATCAAAATACATTTTAACTGTTCTGAATAATGAAAAAGTTTTATCGGTCAATATTTGGCCAGCTCGAAGTTGTGACTTCAATTCAATTAAGCCATTGTAGTCATATTTGAAAAAAAACATCATAATATATAGACATTTACTAAAAACGATTTTTTCAAAGACATATCGTTTTGTTTAAAAAATACATCAAAAAATTAAACAAGTACATTGAGAGTTAAAGTAAACTGTTGTAAAAAATAAATTACATTAATATTGCAAAACTAATGATAATAAGTAATTTTTATTATTATTAATTTTTATTATTTTTTTTCACAAAATTGTAACTGAAAAAAACGTTTTAATGAAACAAGTTTAGTCGTAGACGTAGTTTTATTGTATTTTTTTTGGTTAATTTCGTTTTTTTTTCCAATTCAGATTTTATGAGTTTGAATAAATACCCGTAATTTAGGTTGTTTATAACTAAAATCATGATTGTATCACAATTGTGTCGCCATTTGACTATTTTCTGTGTTTTTTGCACTATCTTTACTAATAAATAAATTTGTTAAATTGGCTTTGATAATTATTTTTATTGAATATTATATTAAAAAGTATCAAACAAATTACAGTTCGTAATTAATTGAATTAATTTTTTTGTTTTATACAACTCTCTCTAATTTTGATACTACTTCTTCAATCGAAATTCTGTCAATTTAATTTTGACACCAACAACACGTGATTATCTAAAAAATGTTGTTAGGAATGTGATGAATGTTTTCAAGACGTTTTCCATTCATTACAAATTCTGCTATTTTCCATGGGTATTTAAAATCTTTTTTTGGATACGCTTCCTTCCAACTTAAGCATTCAAACATGGTGACTCCAAATGAATATATATCAGCACGCTTCTTGTATTTCTCCTTTTTCAAAATTTCGGGTGCCATATATATTGGTGTTCCGATACCCTTAGTGAAAGTCATGTTAGTCAACATCATATTCACTTTTCTACTACTCCCAAAATCAGTCAATTTAGCATTTACTTTTTCATTCAAATTAATTGAAAATACAAGAATGTTGTCTGGTTTGATGTCTCTGTGTAAAATCCCATTCTCATGCAAATACATTATCCCCTTTGATGCATCCATAATCATTTTTACTCGTATATATATATTTACTTCGAGTGCATTTTTGTGCTTCATTAAATCTTGTAAAGACCCGAATTGTGCAAATTCAGTGACCATACACACTTTACTTGGTATAAACACAGCGCCATAAAAATGAACTATATACTCACTGCGGAATTTGTCTAACATTGAAACTTCATTGTTGAATTCAGTCATTTCATTGTCATAGTCATTGAATTGTTTCATCTTTTTAATTGCAACTATATTTTTCTAAAACTTCCTTTGTAAACGATACCAAAAGACCCTTCACCAAGTTTTTTGTCTTCATATAACTCGTCTGGGTCTAGTCGTGTTGACATTTCAGTAATAATAGTTAGACTTATTTGATTGTTTTTTGTGGAACTATCTTGTAAATTTTTTGAAAAAAGTGTAAGCCTATCATTGATTTTACACGAACAATTTGGCTTTACAAATATCTCAAATTCAACTGCCGTTCTTTTTGAAAGTGATACAACTTGTGGCTCTGTTCTAATTGTGTACTTTTCAGTCTTGTCTGTCATCGAAAATTGAATTTTTAAATGTCGTTTTGACAAATTTCCAACACAAATTAATTCACGACTTTCAATACCAACTTTGATTGGATTTTCTGAACCACCAAACACAATTCCAGTTTTGTTAACAACAATGTCATCACCAATAGCTATAAAATTGATATTGGAGTGATTAATTTTAAATATTGTATTTTGGTTATGTTGAAATTTAAGCACTTTTCTTTCAATGGTTTTTATTAAACAAACCATTGATATCATTAAAATAATCAACACACATATTGTGAATATTACACAAAATAGTATAACCCACCAGACAGCTTTCTTGTTACATGTTGTGCCACTTTTATTAGGCGAGTGCCAGAATGTGCATTTCGAACATTTTGAGTTTAACACTTCAATACATTGTAATACATATGATATATCAAGACAAATTCCATTTTCAAATAAAATTCTATTTTTAACACAAGAATTGCATTTGTCGTGTTGTGTGCATGTTGTGCAGTTGTTGTTACATTTCTCACATTCATTATTATTAACTGTGTAATACCCATCTAAACACTTTGAACACCCATTTTGTGTAATTTCAACAGCACACCCAATGATACTGTTTTGTGGCAAACAATTTCCACTTTGTGTTTTGTAATTAGTCAAATTGCAAGACAAACACGTGTCTATTGTGTTACATATTGAGCAATTTGAAAGACATTTAATACAATCCATTCCAACTCGGTAATACCCTTCTTTGCACTGATAACATCCACCCGTGATTATCGATATTTTGTCACACTTTTCAATCAATTCAGTGCTTGGTAAACATGTGTAATTATCACCTTGATAATACCCAAATACACACAAAAGACACTTCGTATCACTTTCAATACAACTTGTGCATTTTTCAGAACATTGATGACATTCAGCATTGGATAAATAATACCCAATTTTACACGAAATGCACCCATATTTACTATATATGACACAATTATTTAAAGTGTTGGTCGTAATGTTTACACAAGTTTTTTTATAACCAATTGTGTAATTATTCTCACATTCGGAACACTGACTGTTTACAACAAATATACAGTTGTTTTCATAAGAAGTACACATCCCATTTTGTTCTTTAAATGTTTCGTTTTGACAAACTGATAAGGTGCATTTCCTTTCATTTGAAATTGAATAATTTACTTCACAAGAAATCGCATTGGTATTGTCACATTTTATAGAGTTTGCAAATTTTGATGAACATTTGTTGCATACCCCATTATCAATGTAAAACTCGTCATTACACCAAATAGTCGATATTCCAGTTGAAAATCCATTATTTTCTTTAACACAAACACTTTCGTTGTCGAGAAAAAAGTCGTCGTTGCATTTCAAACACTTCTTGTTTGAACATAAATAACAATTTGGTGTACAACTTTCACATTTATTGTGTAAATTGCCAGTGATACATTCAATACAATTACTTCCATCTGTGTATCGACACTTGTCATTATATATACATTCATTATCATCTCTTATGTATTGGTTCCGACATTTGGAACATATGGATGTTGTTCCGTATAAACAGTTTGTTGAATAAACACACTCGAATTTTTCATTTAAAACAAACCCCGTTTTACACAACACACAAACGTTGTTTTTGTTGTACCTCTCACAATTATAAACAAGAGAATTACAAATATCATTATCAAGCCAAGATGCAGTGTTGCACATAACACATTTTAAACCAGTTTTTAATACTTCCATGAGATGGCAATTGTTTATAACTTTGTTGTTACTTGCATTTTCCATGAATACAAAGCTCTTACCGTCTTCACTAAATTCAACTTGATTAATACTATTCAAAATTGTGTTTTTCAAAATTAAAACGTTAGTGTTTTCATATAAATACAGATTTTTTATATTTCCAGTGCTATTTATATTTATATTTATATTTGTGATGTTTTGATAAATTGAAAAATTGTAATTTAAGTCACCTAAACAATATAAAGTATTCAATAGAGGTGAATAATTGAACACAGTATCTTTGTATTCGTCTTTGTTTTGATTTGTGGTGATTTTACCAAATGTGAATGAAAAGACAAGATTTAGAAATAACGAATTAACTGTGAGCACCACGTTATCATATATGGTGACTTGTTTTGCAAATTTTAAATTCAATAATTTCATATCTTTATTTACCACCAACTCAGTGTTATTTAATAAGAATTTTAACATATTGAATTGGATTATTCCATTTACAAATCTGAGTTTACATAACACGTTGTCATCTTTGTTACACGGGCAGTGTGGATAGTCAAAAGAACCTTCCATTGTATCTGGTGCAACTGGATTGTAATCAACATTTTTTAATGTGCAAATGACTTCATTGTTAAATGGAATTGTATTAGGGCAAAATCTAATCAACTTTTTGTTTGATATTAAGTACCCTTTTCCATCGGTAAAGTTGAATGAATAGTTAAACATATCAGGCATAATATGATCTCCTATACTTAAAGTATCCAAATTAGACATGGCGTTGAGTGATATGACATCGAAACAGTTGGTGTTACCTGTTGGATTTGCAATTTCAAAATTCGGTTTTGTAGCGTGATTATAAGAAAGATGAAGATGGGATGTGTTCCACAAAACTATTTGTGGGTTATTCAATTCCGGTTTACTTAAAATTAAATTACCAGCAATTGAAACCGATCCAAAATTTGTCGAATTTCTAATCATATTCATTGATGCTTTAGTCTCGATAATAATATTGTTGTTTACGTTTAAATCTGCCATTAAGAACAATGATGTATTTTCAGTGATTGTCAAACTTTTAGTGTTTATCCAAAAAATTTGATCGGTTGTAGAATAGAACATAGTATTATCAAGAATGATCAATTTGAAAAAAATATAATCATTAAAGTTAAATCTGAAAAGTGTAGAAAAACATATAGAGCTTGTATTGACAGAACAAGTTGAAGGATTAAAGTCGTATAAGTTGTTTATATGAGTAGTCGTACAATCACAATGATAACCATTTGTTGTAAACATTAACATGACAAATAACATGAATTTCATTAGTAATACAAATGAATATTATTTTTAGTTATGAATATCGAATTAATATTAAACGAAAAAATATTTAATTGTAATAAGTAAATTAAAAATAGTTTTATAAAACAACATTTTAAAAAATTTACTATTTTTTTAATTAATTATTAAAACGTAAACAATTCATAAATCAGGGTTTTTTTATTTATTTTAGATGCCCATTTTTTTAAAAACGACATTTTCGATTTGCGTGTTTTATTTTTTTAACTTCAAATAATTGTTTTTTACAAAAAATATGAAATTTTACCTTTTGCAGTCTAAAATGTTCTGATAAAAAACCATCAAAAATGGTTTAAAATATTATTATTTATTTAATTGTTGTTTTTGAATAACAATCCGTGGAAGGTTGATTCAACAGACTGTAATAAACTATTTAATTTTAAAAATTAAAAATTGAATAAAACGATTTTAAACAAAAATGACTTCAAATATAATTACCATGAATTTGGACATTCTAATAAAAAGTAAAAAATTACCACAATAAATCTAAATAATTTAATTTTTTTTTCATGTTTTTTAACACTCAAAATAACGCCCTTATTTTTGTTTTGACCTGTTTTTCCTGTTATATTAATTTAAATTTTGATGATTTTTTTTTATTTTTTAGCTTGTGTATTGTTTATGCACAAAATACAAACTCTGAAAAAACAAAAATTTATTTAATAAACGCAAGATTTCCCGATTTTTAGACCATTTGAATTTTGTTGAATGTTATTTAAAGTGTTAATGCTATCAATTTTTGTTTTTTTATTAATTCTTTCAGTATACCTTTGGGAGTCAATTTTGACAACCCGAAATAGAACAAAAATTGAAAAAAAAATATAATTAGTGCAGTTCCGATTAGGACATGTTTCCCGATTTTGGTTTTAAGTTTTGTGAAATTTTTGTTCGTTGAATAACAAAAAGAACGCTCTAGAGCTGCCACGTCATAACATTTTAAGGATAAATTGCGAGTGAAAAAAACGACCAATCAGATTCAATCTAGTCTATAGATAGTAACTATTATCAAAATTATAAAATTTGTCTTTGAAACCATTAAAACATTAAG